CTGCAGCCAGAGTTGGAAAACCCAAAGAGGGCCGTTTTGGTACGGATCTATTTTGTTGATGGTCGCCTCGGCCAGTCAGCGCATGAGGTTGGCAAGGACAGCCGAACTGAGGGCTAAGGTGTGACCGCTTGCCAGAGCTTCGACCACAGGCATATTCTCAACCAAGCACTTATTCGACTTGGTATAACAAATAAATTTGTTATACTAGTAAAATAGGAAGGCTTCATGCTCCCTTTTCTGAAGGTTTTCTTCCCCTCGGCCAGCAAAATGGAGGATGAGGGTGTTGTAGTTGAAGAAATTCTTATGTAGCTTCTGAATTTCTTCTGTTGAAGGTTCTTAGCCTTTTTTGCTCAGCGTCTCGATAGCTCGTTCGTCGTATAATGCATTGAGGTCGAGATTAGACGGGTACCCAGAAAGGGCGGCATCAATTGGGAGGCCCGAAGGGGAGGTCCTAAGGATAGCTCAGACTTCGAGGATAATGGGGCCGATAGGGCCAAGGGGAAGGACCATGATGTTAGTGGCCGAGCACCAGAAGCTCAAAACTGCCATGAGAAGTTCTTTGTCCATTGCGCTTTTCACGATCGAGAGTTTAATGGCATTATAGATGCCAAGAGTCTTCCATTCATGGCCAAAGATTTTTTCCATCCGTTCCACCCAAGCTGCTCAGGCTGCGGTGGTCGAAGGCCAGGCTTCTTGGGGCTTGGTTGGATCCCACTTCGACCAATCGAACCCTTGCAACACAGGTGTCATGTAATGAGCCTTGAGGAGGGTGGTGATGGACGATGACACGACGTTCTTAAAGAGTGGCCTCAAAATCTGATGGGAAGCAATCAAATCACCTTCGAAGCACAAAGTCTTGATGGCGCTTTGATCGATGAAGTTCTGGTATTTGTTGCATTCGTCGGAAAGCTTGGAAATGAAGGAAGCCATTGATGAGAACTCGAAAAGTTTTTGGGTTTTCTAGGAATTTGAAGGCAAAGGGCAAGAGGGGTTCAGGATTTCTGAAAGCGTAAAGGAAGCAATGAAGGGATCCGAGCATTTATAGGGGTTTTGGAAGGATGTCGTTTGATTTTTGAAAAGAAAGGGTAAGACCAATTAGACAGTTGTGCAATCATCACAGATATTTAGAGAATCCATATGAAGGGACCTAAGAACTCATAGATTGAGGCGACGTGGTGATGTGTGGTGGCAAGTTTTTATGATGAGGGGACGATTCAATAACCTAGCAGTTCGTGATTCAAGGAAGCGTGGTTAAGTGTAACAGCAGGATTAATGAAGAGATTGTTTGGCGTCTGCGCGTTTTAAATGTCATTATTAGGGGACAAGCAAGTAAAGGATTGACACATGGCAGGAACCAGAGACATGTGATTGTGTCCCATAAATGCACATGTTTAGGTGATTCGAGGCACTTCAGTTTTTATAAAGGTATAAGAGTCGATTTTGCTTCTTCAAGTTAGGAGTTGTTCTTGGCTCGGCAGTATGATTCTAGAATCATGGCGAATTCTAATTATTATGGGACGCTCGGTTAGGATCAGTCGAGTCCTAGTATGAGATGGATTGATGGGAAAGTCGAATCCTAGCATAACAAGGAGTCTCAATGGGATGAGGATGCTGCGATTTGAGAAGTGAATGTGGCCGGATAAAGAGTTTGGTTCAAAGTCCTAATGGAGGTAGGATTGGCTGAGACTTGGTTAGATTAGGATAAAGAATCCTAATCTGAGTATAGTTCTGGTTCGACCATGAGGAAATTGGCTGCTATAAATAAGAAGGGGGTGCATGATTCTAAGCCTCTCCAATTCAACACACAAACTGCCCTGCGCAAACTCTCGCTCTACGCGAAACCTCTCAACAACTTGAGATTTTTATTTTCTTTTTCCCGCCGACACATCTTTAGTTTGGATAAACAGCACTGTGAAGGCAACCGCCGAACATCTTCAGTTTGGATAAACAGCACTGTTGCCGTAGAATCAGCCGACTGCGGAGCACCTTCAGTTTGGATAAACAACACTGCATCGAGGGCGGCTCGTTATCTATCCAAGTCTCAGTCGAGAAGGATTTTCAAATCCTTATTGGCAGAGGTGATCTCGTTAGCCTTCTTGGTGAAGTGAGGTGTTACAGGTTACCACATTCGGCACATTGAAAGTCGAATTTGATATTGAACTTTGCAAGACTAGCAGCGTTGTCTTCAGGCTCTAGAACCTGAAGACCGAGACGTGTTCCTTCCTCGACCGCAGTTGCAAGATCAAGAAGTTAGCAGCGCGTACAACGCAACATCAACACATTTTACTCCTCGGCCGACGAGTTGGCACGCCCCGCACACAACCGAAAGACATAGTTAGCTTATTAATTACTCGGCCTACGCGCCACGTAGGTTTGGTAGTTTTTAAGGTCAACAAATATATACACCCAATGTGCTAGTTTTATAGTCCAAATAAAATATTTCTTTCAATTATTTTCGGCAGTGAAGAGGAAGAAATTATATTGTTTGAGCGCTCGTACACAAAATATCTTTACGATTATGTATTTTAATCCCTACGAACATTTCTCTTTAGGTTTCATCCCCTCGTGTATATTACCTTAATCGCGAAAGATTGTTAAAAAAATAGAGAGATTTTAACATGTAATCGGCTTGCCATTAGACTGAATTTTGTGAATTAGGATTAGGCGGGGAAGAAATTTAGTGTAGTTGATCTTAAAAGTTGAAAATTAGGGTTTCTGCAATTTGGTTTTAACAGTTAAGTAATAGTATTTTAACGTTCAGCCAAGTCATCCTAGGAGTAGGAGCACTCTAATATGAACTGTACTATGTTTCATTGCAGCTGGACTTTGTTGAGTGTTTCAGGCCTTCCAGATCGAATTCATTATATTCTAATTATAATACCACCAACAATCCATTAAAATTAGCCATTTATATCATTCAAACTGCATTTTCCAACCCCATTTCCTCGAGAAGCTAATCAGTCTCTACCTTTAATAATATAAGAAAATCCCTGACTTCGGTTGCATAAAGCCAATTAGTCTATTGTCACTTGTAAGTATCTTAGAATTAATCTTTTGATGAGAAATATTAAGAGGATTCTTTCAAAGTGAGACTCTCCATGAACTTTTTACTAAAAATTTTGGATCACTACTCGTTCCTACAAACACCGCAAGCTTCTATAGTGAAACACAAACATGAACCAAGCAGCCTTCAGGCAAGTCCAGAATCTTGCAGATTCTCGAGTTGCCTACGTAAAAGGAGGTCTCTTTGAACTTTCGCCTCCCAAGTCCTAGGATTGAGATGATAACCCTAGAGATTAAACTGAAAAAATATATATGAACTATAAGAGTACATAGCTTTATCTCTCCTATCTAATACTGAGAAAGATTTTCCAATTAGTACTACGGTCTAGTGGTATTCTGCTTCACTTGTAAGTGAGAACTTATAGGTTCGATTCGTGCCAAAGACGAATTTCAACTACATTATTGCTAGCCCATGAGAGGCTAAGTCCACCCCTTCCTTGTAGATAATATCGTTTATTAAAAAAATACCGAGAGAGATTTTCTCTTTGTGTCTTCTTTCTTCCTGAAAGCCCGTAGTTGGGAACATAGTAGAAAGACAGATATGTCCATGAAAATTCTAAGAATAGTTTTTTAAGGATTTTCTTTAAATATTACAAAGATAATTAAGAGATACTTGATAATCAAATACCTTAATTTGAGTGCCACTTAGTACTACAGTTTAGTGGTATTCCTCTTCACTTGTAAGTGAGAGGTCTTAGGTTCGATTCTTGCTAAAGGCGAAACCATATTATTGCTAGATCATTGTGAAGCTCAGCTCACCTCCGACCCTTAATGTAGATAATGTTATTTGTTAAAAAAAATGTATCAAAAAAAAAAACCCCTAATTTGAGTGGATTAAATATTGGTATTTATTTAATTAATATATAGGTAAATCGCACAAAAGGATGTATGACGAACCACAAAAAATCTATAATTATAGTATAGATAATATTATTTGTTAAAAAAAATGTATTAAAATAAACCCTAATTTGAGTGGATTAAATATTGGTATTTATTTAATTAATATATAGGTAAATTGCGCAAAAGGATGTATGACGAACCACAAAAAATCTATAATTATTAACTCTTCTTTGTGACGAAACAAAAAGGAAAGAAAAAGAATTACGAAAACCTACGTTCCTCGCATGGAATCGATGCATGCAGAAGCTTTTTCTTTTACCATTTCAGTGCAGAATCAACAGAAGGAGATTAGAAAGCAATCCCAAATAAAAAATGACTGTAGGGCAAGTAACAGATAATTTCACACACAAGAAAAAGGAATTATTTGTTTTCCCCTCCTTTTGTGACAGCCTTGTCAGAAGTAAAACCTTTTCTCATGTAAAAATAATTCTCTTTTGAGGACAATAATGTTATCAGTGAGTTAGATAGTTAGTTATTAAAAGAGAAATATCGATGAAAATTAAACTCACACATATAAATGACATTATTGTTTTTCAACATTCTGACAAAGTATCATATACCATCATGAATTTTATATTTATTTTTTAAACTTTTTTCAATCATGGAAAATCACCATTATTTTTGTACAAGAAAAGGACCTTTATATCTAAAGAAGAAAAATAAAAATATAGAGAATTTATAGCTGGAAAAATTTATGCACCAATACCAATTGTAAAGCCTCATTCTTTATTCTCTCTCCAACGAAATTTTTTTTATTTTAATGAAATCATGATATTATTAGTTTTTTTTAAACAAACCAAATTATGATAGTATAAGTTAGAAAATGCTTTCGCCACACTCTGTTTACCGTGCTTACATATTCATATTTAACTTTACCATTGTTTTTGTTTGCTTTATTACCAAAAATAAATAAAGGTGTCACGTTCTACACACGGCCGTACCAAAAATGAAAATGATGTGCATATTTTATATATTACTTTATTTAATTAAGAATCCCAATAAAACACTACACGTTTTGTGGCTTTTGTTGTGCGGCCGTCGGCCTACCCAAAAAAATCCCTCCCCCATCATTCATCTCTCCCTCTCTCCCTCTCCTCTGCAACAACAATATGACAACAAGTAGCAAAGGAAACAACAACGCAGCATCAGTAGTCCAAGTCCAAGAGCAAGCAGCAGGTAGCCATGAGTGCTGCATGTGTGGGGATTTTGGCTTCTCCTATGAGCTCTTTCTTTGCAAGGTTTGCCAATTCAGATCTCAGCACAGGTCACCAATTTAACAAAACCACTCTCCTTTTTGTTTAATTATATGAACATATTTAAGTTGATCCTTTAATTTATGGATTATGATCTAACCAAACTGAAGTTTAATTGTAATTAGATTTCCGATGTGCAGGTACTGCAGCAATCTTTACCCGAATGCTGAGTCCTACAGAATCTGCAATTGGTGCCTCACCCAGAAGGAGGACACAAAGGAAAAGTCCCCGAACTCCTCAAATTCTTCATCCTCATGCAAAAGGGAATCCCAAGATCAAGACCACCCAATTACCAAGATCAGCATCAAGAAAAAGATTTCATCAAAAAACAGTAATAATCCATATGGTGGGTGTCTGAGGGGCACTATGCAGCTGCAACCAAGCGGGCCCATCAAGAAACAGAGATCACTTGATCTTCATCGTCAATCATCAGCAATATCTCCATCTCCATCACCATCTCCAAAATCTGCACCAGTTGTTACCAGAAAGAGGATCATCACAAATGCGGCAAAGGAGGCTGAGAGGATCAGGAGGACAAGGTCAGAGGGCATATCAAACATAAAAAACACAAGCACTATTGGGATCACAAGGCAAGTCTTCAGGAACAAGGTCAGAAGGTACAAGCTTTTGGATGAAGTTTCAAGTCAATGACTTGTTGGCTACAGCTAGCTATATATTCCAATTTCTTCTCTCTTTTATTTTCTTTTTGTTGTACATACAAATATAAATACAGATAAATGTGATGGAGGAGACCAGTGGCAGGCGTAATTTAGTATGATATAGTAAATTGTAATTTTCAGTTAATGTAGAAACGTAATAAGAGAACTCTGTGGTGGATTGTGGTGGATTCTGTATAATCAAGTTCTTTTTAAGTTAAAGAACGTACTTCATTGTGTATGATCATATGTTTATTTCTTTCATTACGAAATAGAGTAAATAATATGTTTGTTTCTCTCTTTACGTGATAGGTCGAAAGAGCTTTACGTAAGTAAAGAGTACTACAAGTTCTCTATCACGATACTGTTACAACTTACAAGCCTTCGCATGAATATGTGTGTGTGTGTTTTTCTTTCAATGCCATATATGTGTAAATAGTATTTGGTAACCACTTTCAACATAAGAGCTGATATAATTTAGCCACTAGGATGACTCGCCTATACAGAGAACACAAAACTAACCCAAACGAGACTACATACACAAAGACAACTCAGTCTAATTTTTGTACTACAATGACAAAACAACAAACACAGTCCGCACCAAGAACACCACTTGATAAAGATTCAGTGGGTGCATTGTTGTTTGATGGATTTTGGATGACTTTCAAATTTAAGTGTATTCAATATAGACTTTTAGAGATCAATAAAAGTCATTCTGTATTAAATAAACTTTTTTATAACTCTAAAAAGTTTATGAAAATCTTGTGGTATTCATTTATGAAGTCTACAAAGATCCAAGTGTATTTAAAAGTTCACTTATTTTAAAAGATTTTAGAAAGTCATGGATTTTGATGGACTTTGAATGCTTTTATAGAAAAATTTTTGTCATTGCAAATTCAACCTCTCCTCTAAGATTCTGATGGATTTCATTTTTCTTAATTCTCTGATGAATACTCCATCATCTAATATAATGCAATAATTATCACTATCACCACTTCCAACATCATGTCACCACCACTACCTTACCATAACCATCTTGTTCACCTCTAACCCGACCACTGTCACCATTGGTTCCACTGCTGTCATTGCCATGAGCATCATCGCTATCACTACTATGACCACCACGTACACCACCATCACTATGACCGCCACCTCTACCACCATCTCCTTTACCACCCCGACACCACAATCACCCCGTGACACTTCCACTACCACCACCTCATAAGCCCACTTTGTCATAAATCATGATCACCATCTCAATGATGAAAACTTAAAAATAATAATGCTTATTAATAAATTAATAGTTAAAACATCTACGACAATCTCCAAAATTCTTTAAAAAAGTAAAAATAAAGTATTGAACTCTCTAGAATTCTGCAAAAGTCTATCATGTAAGTCAACAAAAGTATATCATTAAAAGGAAAAAATGTAAGAAAAAAAAAAAAAGTCTTTTTCTCTTCCCTGCGAGAGACCTTCCCTCTCTTTGAGAGCGATTCTCACCCTTTCGTGTGAGTGGTTCTCCATCATGTTCTCGTTTGTTGCCGTCGATCCTGGCTATGGTCGGGATCGATGGGTGTTCTTTTGTTTTTGCCTTGGTGTCCCTCTCTTCTCCCCTATGCTACTTCTTCCCCCTGTTTCGATTTACCCTTTTCTCCTCCCACTGTTGTCTCTCCTCCTCCTTCCTCTAATTTCCGATCTTTGGTCAAGTTTCACGGCGAGATGCGGCTTGTTGAGTCAGTGAGCTCTAATCTGGTGCTTCCACTGGGTCAGGTGTTCCAAACACCCCAACATTCTCTTTGCTATCTGCCTTGGTTGGCAGTGTTGCTTGTGGATTTCCACGCGCTTCTTTATCTTTGCTGCAGGTCCTTGGTGATCTGTGGCTGTGTTTGGACTGAAGATTGGAATTGGTTGACGGGTTTGCTGAGGCGCGGCTCAGTTGGGAGATGGGCTTTGGGCGGATCGACAGGCACTGATGTGGCAGTGTTGGTTGCAGCGGTGGTTGCAGCGAGGGTTGTAGCGGTATTTCTAGTTTTATGTTTTCTTCGGTTCCAACTTTGGGTTGGGCTCATTTTGGTGTGTTTGGTTGGCCCCGTTTTGCCTTGTGTATCTGTTTTGGGCCTTGGTTGTAAGTTTGTGTTGTTGCAATAAATGCTTCACCATGTTTTGGAATGGTGTTTTCCCAAAAAAAATATATATATATCATTAAAAGTCTATGAAATTTTAGGAAATTTATAATAATTAATAAAAGTCTATTACATCTGTGAAGGTCTATCACTTTAAAAGCTCAACAAAAGTCCATATAAATCTTAATACAATACATCCCTTAGTTCTTCTTTTTCAAAAGAAACACAAAGTTCCTCATGTTTTATTTGACATACAAACAAGTAGCGTTATTAATAAATAAAAAATATTAAGAAATACCATATTTTTATACCACATTGACATCATTTACCATATAATATCATACCCTAATGCAGTAAAAGGAATAGATACATTTAGAACTCTCGACTACGTAAAATAAATGAAATGGGTTGGTAATGCCACAACCAACGAACAAATTAATAGGTACACCTAAAACCTAGCTACATTTCTCAATGTCCCTTTCAATAAAAAAATGGAACCTAACACTTATCCACTCAAAGTGGGATGTCTAGAGATTCCAAATTGCTTAGGTACAAGGAGCATATCGAACTCTCTGGATTTAACTGGGAAGTTTGACAGATTCCCTTGGATAAAGATCGGATCAGAATGCTAGCAGCAAGTAGTAAAATATTATGTAATTAGTCTTTTTCTGTCTAATTATTTGTAAGTGTATAATCCTAATAAAGTAAGGTGCAAAATCTATGAATAAGTTGACTTAGGAAAAGGCATGGAACATAATCTGTGATGGGAAAACGTCCCATACTTTCAATTTGCCGAGTTTTAATACAAAACTTGAGTTACAAGGAACTTGGAACCAAGTCATTAATACTAATATTAATATTGTATTTAGTCTTGAAAGACTTTCAGTCGAATTTTAAACATACAATATGTCGAAAGATTCTATATAGCTAAGATTTTTAGCAAATGTTGACGCATGTAGGTTGATAAGCATTTAGATTTTTAGAAAAAAAATGTTTGATTGAACTTTATAACGAATGCTTGAATGAAATGAAAAGTATAAAGAAAAAATGTGAGAACATACGTAGATATGAGTTAGAAATTTATAAATACTTTACCACTAATCTATAGCTTAAAAATATTAAGAGTCTCTACTATATAATGAAAAAGTTTTAGTTTTCCAAATTTTCTAAGAAATTGTGTGAGAATAAATTTCATACAACCGATAGTATAATTATCTCTTCTAATTAGAGGTGGGCAAACAGCTCCAGCGCCTGCGGGTAGGGATGGGTACTAGCGGTTATAGGTGGGTCCATATTATTTATATGCAAAACAGGGCGGGGTGGGTCGGTTCCAAGTAAACAGTGGGGGAGGGCGAATCCAAATTTCTAAGGACACGGGCCCCCGGCCCGGACCATATCCATTGAACTTGTATGCTCAAATCTCACACAAACACACAGGTCTCATGAAGCCTAACCTCACTCAGTTTACTTTCTCAAAGACTCTTCTCATACTCAGATTGAATCTTCTATTCTCAGTTTTCCTTCTCGTATCTCAATCTCCTCCCTCTCGATCTCTCTCCTAGAGTCCGAACTAACTTTCATCCTTATTGATTCTTAATCTCTCTTTGTCGAACTCGAAGGGACGAACGACGAAGTCAGTCTATCTTTGTGTCAAACTTGAAGGGATGAACGATGAAGTCGAATGACAAAGTCATCTTCTCCGTCTAAGAAGACGAAGATTGCGAGGGGCTGTCCTAATTTATTTCTTAGATTTTGAGTCATTGTCCAAGAAGAAGAAGATTTAAACCTTCAATATGGCCCCAAAAATAACTTTGATATTTGTTGTCCAATATAGGAATACCCATATCCAAATTAAACTTATCCTTGCTATTCTTTCACCTATTTATCCTTGTTCAGTTCTCCCTCAGAATCTCAGCCATTAAGTATTTTTAATTTTTTATATTATCTCTTTGATTGTTGAGAAAAACAAAGAAAATGTTCAATTTTTGTAGTAATGTGGTTGTAAATTTTGAATCTTTGATGGCGCTCCAAATCGGAGAAGACTGTGGGATCAAATAGATTGGCGAAGATGAAGGGGAACAACTAGCTTGCTGTCCACCCAATATGGTCCGACTTAGCCGATTATGTGGCACTCTTGACTCACGCATCTTAAGGATGATGATCGAGGAAGAAAGTAATTGCAGCTGGGAAAACTTCTTCTCCCACAGTCAATTCCCTTATGTGTTGAGGAAGACGATGCCAACAAGGTCGTCCCTTCTGTGTTGGCCAAAAAAAAAAAAAAATTAACTAGACTTGTGGACCCGTCCGGTTTCTGCTCGTTTCAAACGATCCGGGTTAGGCCTGGTTCCAAATTCTAAAATGCCATTACCCGGCTCAGCCCACCCCGTTACCATTTACAACGGGTAGGGTCCGGTTCCTCCAAATTTCAGCCCGACCCGGCCCGTGCCCACCCCTAATTCAAATTGAGAGTGTGATACATGGGCTAAAGAATAATTTTGAAAAGTTATACACATAAGTATAATCGGAGACTTAAGACAAATCTTATATTTGAGTTTGGATATGAGTTTAAGGTTCTCCAATGCACCAAAGACTTGAAACTCATCAAAATTATATATAAGTCTTCCGAGAAGTTGAGATCAAAATTTGGGGTTCAATATGCAATTTGAGTTCAAGGGAAGCCCATGCTAACTAGGAAAAATATTATTCAACTAAGAAAAATGAGATGTGTTTTGAATCCAATCATCTCCAATGCACATAAGTAAATTGTTAAAATTCAAATATGAGTTTTGAGAGTCTTTTTTTATTTTGAGAGAAACGATAATAGAGCTGGAAAAAATTCCTGAAAATCCTAAACCAAACAAAAAAAATTCTGATCCTAAACCAAAATTCCCGAAATTTTTGGGATGACATACCGAACCGATCCTGAAAGTTTGTATGGGAATCGGTATTGTCTTCTCAATATTTCGGTAATCCCACATCGAACCAAAAATGTCACATCCTAGTCTTGACTCCGCCGTAGCACGATATTATCCGCTTTGGGCTTACCATTCCCTCATGGTTTTGTTTCTGAGAACTCACGAGCAACTTCCCAGTGGGTCACCCATCTTGGGAACGCTCT